ATGAATATGTTGCTTCCCTTTTTGGACTGCATAAGGGACAGGGAGGTTGTGGCACCAGTTAGGCACCTGTGTCTGCAGGTACGAGCGTGGTCCTCGCCTTTCCCCGTTGCTTGTGCAAAGGGAGAGAGGATGCTTGGGACGTGCCGACGTCCATCCACGCCTACACTGAAGAATCACAAAGCTTTGGCAAGGGCTGAGCCTCTGCAAATTATGGCCGTGACCCTGAGTGTTTATTATGTGCCAGAGAGCACAATCCAGATAATAATTTCCACCCAGGGAAAGGACGTGGTTTACAGAGAGCTCAGTTCTCAGACGGTATTGTTTGAAGTGCGAAAAGGCCTTCCTGAAGGGAGCTGCTGATGTTTACAACATTAAATCAAACTCTTATCGAGTTCATCCCTGCACTCTATTTATTTTGGAACATCACTGATACAGTACGTGTGTGTGTATATTTATACACCCACATGCATGTACATGGAGATATAGATATATATAATGTGTGTGTGTGTACATATAGAAGAGTTATGATCCATCAGCATTATCCATTACAGCTAACTCCATGTTTCCTGTCATCCTACTGAAGAGCATTTCCAAGCACTGTTTGGCCAGCACAGCGTTTGAGTTGGCTGCCTTCAGTGTGAGGGCTCAGAAAATAATGGTAGATGAAAGACTTCGCCTGCTGTCGTGGGCAGGAGAATGAGACATATGCTTGCAGCATGCTAATAAAGAACTGGCCAAAAGGAAATTTACTGGTTTTGTCTTTGCTGGAGGTTCCCCTCAAAGCTTAGAAGTGGTATGGACAGATAAATTGGTGTGATAAGGTTGAACTCAGCTAGAGAGCTAAAATAAATTAGATACTGTGAAATAATATTTGATCATTAGATTAGATTCCTCTCATGTGCAGCATGAGATTTGTTATGCTTATTCATGAGAAATATCTTTCTTAGTTTCAGTGGACGCATTTGGGACGAAGAGTCATGACTCTTACTATCCAGTTCCTTCCCCCAAACCATTGTTAGGATGTAGCTGCAAAACTGGAGTCCTGAGAGAAAAGCCAGGTTCCACTTAGACTAATCAGTCCCTGCTCGCTTCTGGATGATGCTTAGCATGATAGCAGATGATGCATTATTCTGATTAGTTTAATTTTACTTCCGTATGTGTGTGTGGTAGGTAGAAGCAATATCTTTTACTGGGCCAGCTAGTACAGTTGATAAAAACAAACTTCAGTGCTGACACAGTTAACTTCAAAGTTAACTGCAAAGCCAGGAACTATTGCTCAGAGTTTGACTAGATATGCATCAGTTTGATCAGCTCGAGTTGATTATTGTTTCTCGGTGAAAATGGAGATGATTCCTGCAGGCAAAGGATATGTTGGGAGGGAAAAAGAAAGAAAGAAAGAAAGAAAGAAGGGTTCTAAGGTGTTTTTGTCCTAAAAGGAAAAGCAAGATGGTTTATACCCTATGGAGTTAGAGAGTTAGGGAAAGGGGGAAGGGTAATTATAACATGTGCAAAAACCTGTTAAATATCATTCATTATCTTCTCAGTAAGGGAACTAAAGTTCATGATTAAATACATTCAGTATAGATGTGATGATGGTCATGATACCCACCTCAGGGTAGGTGCCCAAAAGCTTATCTCATTTCTCAAACTCTACCAGTTAAGGGTATAAAAGATATGGCTTCTCCCTGCTCACGTCCACCTCTTGTGTGTCCTCGAACCACCACATCTCCAGCAAAACACCAACAAACAGCGAAAGGGTGTTAACATTGGTCTTGTTTTCCAAGAAGTAAAGCTATACTATAAACACTATAACACCACAAGTGTTATTTTATAAAAGTTTCCAAATCCTCCGAGTGCAAAATACAGTATAAAAGCACAGTCCTCATGTTACAGAATCACAAGATTAACAGGATAGTTATTCAGAGGCAGGTTGGGGAACAATCCCACCCCTGGCTTTGGCAGGGGCTATGTTTTGAGCCACACTGTTCAGCATACCAGCACATGTTTGAACAGATCCTGCTGCACTAAATTACCCCAGAAGGGCTGTTATTTTGCTCTAATTAAAGGTTAGCATCTGCAAGGTGCTAATGCTTAGCTCTAGGATGGTCACACCACTGTAGCATCTGAGGGCTTCACAGGCTTGTCTGTCCATCCTCTTGTGAAGTAGACAAGTACTATTCTGCCTATTTGGAAAACGCCCAAATACCAATACTATTTTCCTGGAATTACAAGAATTGCATAGTGAATATAGAGTTAGGGGTGGTAGAAGACAGTTTGGGAACTATTGGAATCAGCAGTTTCTTATTGAAACCACCAGCATTTCAGAAAATGACCCCTGAACCAAAAAAAAAACCCAAATATAGCCTGTACTGGAGCTACACATCTGATAGAAAGTTTCATATGGCAAAAACGCATTTTCGAGTCCTTGTGGAGACTGGCAAGAACAATCTTTTGGAAGAGCTGGCAAGGGTATCATGCCCCAAGAACTTGTTCCAAAATAAAATCTGACAAGTGGAAAATAGGATCTGTGCTTATAGAGCTTGTTAACCAACTTGTTCATAAAGGAAAATGCATCATTAGCTTTGGAGGAAAAATGTTCTTTGCAAGTGTAAGTGAATTTTCTCTCTTGGTCTTTTTGATCAGTTACTGAATGGATGGTTTGGCTTGTAGCTGTCCACATATTAAGCTGTCAGTTTAGTTTTCTCCTGAGATCTGTGGTATGACGGCCAGTGATCCCAGCTGGTATGTGTTGAGAGCACCTGCCTTCACCAAGGAGGTGTTTCTGCAGAGAGCAGAGTGCTCTTGACATTTCAGAGTGACCCTGACTAGTAGTTTGCATTCCCACTGGGAATGGGAATACACTCTGCTAGAGCCTGTCTGGGAGTGTATGTTGCATGGGATCCACCAGGGTCTGTGCTGAGCCTGGCAGTATTCATTGTGCAGGACAGAGGATGAAACAGTGACTGCATCACTAAGCTTTTAGTTGCCTGGCCCCAGTGGGAAATCCAGACCAGCTTGGCTCCCTGTTACTGGGAGAGGTTATGAGAAGGAATCATCTTCACAGAAAGATCTGAAGATCATCCAGTTCTCAGCCAAACACCTTCTCTTCTACATCAACAGCACAGGGACCCAGGGGAGCAAGTCAGGTGCCATTTGGGAGCCGTGCTTTGTCCAGTTCTTCTGTCTACTTGAGGTAGAAGCTACGTGGTGGTGGCAGTCAGACAGGGCCCTTTCCAGCTGGATTAGAGCTACCCTGAATGGGAGCCCTGTTCCATCATCCTACTGGCTCCAGTACTCTTGAATGACCCAGTGTAGATGAGCAACAGGATGGGATTGGTGGGTTTCCACTCTTGGGAGATGAGGATTTATTCCTTCTTCCCAAGAGTAAGTAGTTCCTCTCACCTGTCTGATGGTCATCCTGGGTGGCTGTTGCCAGCAGGAAGGAGGACAACAATTTGAAAAAGGCTGGTTTCAGAGAGTGCTTCTTAGATGTGCCATGGACATGAAGGCAGGAAAAGCAGCATGTCCCTTGAAGAACAGGGTTACAGTCTGGAATTATCCGGGCAAAATGGAAGAAGGGCTGTCTCCAGTTCATGGGACACATAAATGGAAACAGCAGGCTGGGGTATGTAAGCAGTTTCATCTCTGAAGAAACAAAAAGCAATGCTGCCATTCTGCTGCCTTAGTTGGAAAACAGAGAACAGCTCGGGTGCACCCCTCTACGGAAGATGTGGACTAGTTGGAGAAAATCCAGAGGAGCTCACTAGATCAGAGGATTAGAAAATATGAGTTATGAAGAAACAGTGAAAGAATCAGTTTGTTTAGTCTAGAGAAGAGAAGACGGAGAGAAGTCATGATAACAGTCTTCAAATATGTGAAAGGATGCTTCAAAGACAAAGGGAATAAACTATTTTCCACGTCTTCTGGGAGATAGTGAGGCTCTGGAATTGGTTGCCTGAGGAGTCTCTATCTTTTGGGGATCTTTAAGGACTGGTTAGCCAAATACTTGTCAAAATTATTTTGACAGAGCTGGAGTGGGGAGAAGGACTAGATGACTGCTGAGTACTCCAGACCCTCTGATTATCTTATTGGAGCTACCCAGACTGGGAGACTCTGGTCTTGATGGATTATTCAATTTCGTACAATTTTTTATTGCTAATGGACATTGTTTTTCTACACCAGGGCTGAAAAATTTTTCTGAAAGCATTGCGTACAACATAGAAGGCAATCTTTGCCTCCTTGCATCACCTCCATTAGAGAGTACTCATTACCCCAGCACATGGCCCAACATCAGTTCCCTGCAGTGCCTGCTCTTCCAACAGATCTCATGCCTTGAGGAGTTAAATGAATCAGTAAAATTCCCTTGAAATAATAGTGTTTAGTGAAGATTTAAATGTGTCTTTATCTGTTAAAAAAACCATGGAAGATCAATCAATTTTTTAGGTTAAGGGTTGTTCAGCTCAAGACCTTGTGCAGTCTGTGCTGCTTTAGTGAGCATCCATGTATCTACTTTACTGTAAATCCACATTAATCGTGATGAACGGCTATGTACGTTGCAGGGTGGCAGGAAAATCTCCAGTGCAAACAGAAATCAGACAGGTTGGAGTGGCTCTGGAAGCTTCTCCATGGCTGAGGCTAAAAGTAGTCTCAGCCTGTTAATGTTAAATCTTTAGGTGTCAAGGAAATAAAAAGGTAGAATGTCTTCATCCAGGGTTGTAGTGGTGATAGAAAGCAGCTGTACACCAACAAAATCAGGCCATACCTCTTTGTAGCTGCCAGACTTACAAGCCTTATCTACACTTGCATTTACTGCCCTGGATTTTCCACCACTGCTGCCAGCAGAGACGGTGGTGGGAAGTTTGAGCCCTTGTGTGAATGAAATTGTCATCACTGCAGGTGCAGTCACACCTGGGAGCAGCCTCTCTGTTGAGGAGGAAAAGTAAAGAATACTCAAGGAGAGCAAAAGATCTCTTAAAATGTGCCTGCTCTGTCCATTTCAGGATTGCTGGTGATACAGCACTCAACAAAAACATCCACGAGTCGGTCAGCGCTCAGATCCGGAAGAACTTCGCAAAAAGCAAATGGAGAGTAAGTGACCCGTCCTTGGGGATGACAATGAGACACAGCTCTGCTAATGCAGCAGCCATATAGCCACTCTTTCAGCCTGTTATGGCCCAAAATTCTGGTCAAAATAGTTGTTCCAGACTTAGGTTACATGACCTGCAGGGCCCTTTATACAGGATGGTACTCACCAAGCACCAAACGCGATGGCGAGAGATGGGGCTGCTCATCCCTAAAGCACTCACGGTTATATGTGAAGTTGGGGTCAGCACCACAGGGGGACAGGAAGCACTGAAGACACCCTGTGTGTTAGGGCAGAGGAGGATGTGTCAAATATGGCTTTGCAGGCTGCTAGCTGAGTAGTGGGAATACCAACAGGGAGCAGGACCAGGGCAGAGATGCAGACAGTCTGAAAATGTTTAGAAACTAGAACTCAGGAAAAATTTGAAAGATAATGGGCTCATTCGCCTCTGACACCCTGAGCAGCCAGGAGAGGAGCAGAAGTAACCTTTCCATCTCCCTTTTTTATTATTCTTTATTTCTTTCTTCTTGTTTTTCCCCAGCAAGCGTTCAACGCCACAGCAGTCGTGCGGCACATGAGGCGGCTACACCTCGGCAGCAGCCTGGACAGCGCCAGCGCCGGCGTGTCCAGCACCCTCAGCCTCGCCACACCCCTGCCTGAGGCAGCCACACGGAAAGATTGTGAGTAGCCAACATCCTGGGAAAGCTCCTACCATGAGCAAACCTGGGGGATCCCCGTTTTCGCCGTGAACCCCCAGGCTGCAGTCCTCACCGCCAGTAGGTTTGGCTTTGCGCAAGCAGGTGTTTAAAATAAGGACTTCAAAGAGGACTTAGGCCGTCTCTTTTGGCTGGCCTGTAAAACAGTGTTTCAGTGGGAAAAGCTTATGCACCAAAAAAAAAAAAAAAAAAAAAAGAGAGGCTTTAGCTTGGTGCATTTTTGAGAGAAAAACACTGTTTCTTGTGGATAAAAATGGCTTTCGCTTGGGAAAAAGACCCAGACCCCCACAGCAACAAAGTTTTGTATTTGTTTGAAATCCGAAAAAGTTTACTCAAACTGTTTATGTTTGAGTTTCCAGTATTATGACAGGGCATTTTTCTGTAAAAATTGGTTTACTTTCCTTTTCCATTTTCTATGGAGGAGACTGATCCTGCCAGTCGGACCCAGCTTCCCTCTTCCTGGGCCAAGTTAAGCTCCTGCACAAAGAGGCTCATTTGTCTGAGCAGGACTTGGGCTCTGTGCACCACAGCGGGACTTGGCTCTCTGCCACTTTTGTTATATGCTATAACTGAGATTTCCAAGCTGCCCAATGGACTCAGATGTTTGGGATATATCTTTTTTCTGAATGCCAGGGAAGGAGACATGGCAGCAGAGGGATTACTTGGAAGACAGAAATGCATCCTTTGCAATGAAACCTATTTGTTCTCTGGCTTCTGGATATTTATTTTATTCCCCTGGGTCCATCTGTAGAGATTTTTATATCATGAAATGGAGGGATGTGGAGTTTATAATTAGAGGAGATTATTTGAAGATATGACCAAAAAAGAGTGTTAATAGATTTTGGTATTCCCAGTCAGTGCTTGCTTCACTGTGGACTGAAATGGTCATTTCTAGACTATAGCCTGCACTATTCTGGAACTGAAAGCACCTGTTATTCAGGATGCATTTTGGATGGTGCTGCTGTCTGCTTCTGCCACCCCTGCTTGCCAACCCTCGCTTCTTGAAGAGGTCACACCACCAGCCACAGTCCCCTTGGCTCTGTGTGGAAGCTGTGGTTTCTCTTGCTGTCATGGGCACAGTTTCCCTCGTGGCTGAGGTGGGATTGGCCTTCTGGGTGCTCTGTGAGATGTTTTTGCCAGCTTGGGCTGTGACTGAGCCAGAGGAGAGCCCCTTCCCTCTGCATCCTGGGCCGGATGGGGATTCATGCCCAGTGCCAAATCCTACAGCTGCTGCTAAAAAAACATTGCTGTGCTTCTGGCACACAGCTGGCACCTGCAAAGGAGCAGTGCAGTGCTGACCATCCTCAAAGCACTTCTAACCATGCACTGGCCATTCAGCGATGTAGAAAATCACTTACAGGGTAGAAACATGCCTTGATTTTGGTTCCTGCTGCAGTATGGCAAGGCTGAACCCCAGTCAGGTCTTGAGCATCTGATGCATTCTTTGCTGTTAAACTGGTGGGTGATTAATGCTGTTAAACTGGTGGGTGATTAATCTCCATCCCTCCATTTAATTAATCTCAGATGGTGTTAATTAATGGCACTGAATAGTCTGAACAGTGTAAAAACATGTGTGAACAAGAAGGGTGGGAGAACAAAATCTGTTTAACCACTACAGAACCCAGCAGGTCCCTGTACACAGTCCAACCATATTTTGCAGTGATGGAGATCTTCAGTCATGACAGGAAGAATTAAATCAAATGTGTTTAGATAGGATGAGTTTTTATATGCCAGAAATATGAGGCAGAAAAATATTGAAATATTTCCAAGCATCCCAGGTTAAGTCCAGCTTGGTGGACAATACAGAAGAGCTTCTCTTCCACAAAGAAATTAATTAAAGAGTTAGGAGATACTGGAGCCCCAGAGAACCAATGAGGAGAACCAGCAGCAAATACAAGGAGTTAAAAGCAATCTGACAGATCAAATGTATTCCACCGAATACCTCCTGTTGGGGAAAAGGAAACCTCTGAGGTCTCTGTCCTGCCTCTTTCTCTCAGCAGTTTTCTCTGGGGACGGATTTCTTGCACGAGAAAGATCCCATGCAGCAAGTTGCATGAACCAGCTGTGCCACCATTACACAATAGAGTGCTGCCTAATACTATTAATAGACATTTAATGAGCTCTCCAAATAGTTTTGAATGCAGCAATTTCACATCATTGAAGACAATTAGGTGCCTGAGAGTAGGTTATGTTGGGCTGCATCCTAAGTCTGTTCTCTGCAGTAGGGCAGAGCAGAGCTGATGCATTAGGCTGGACTATGCTACCTGTCAGGACAGCCTAAGGGAATCAGGATTTCTCAAGTGTATTGGTTTGATTGTCAGTCTGTGCTGGGTGTATTTAGTTTAGACATGATTGGGCTGCCTAGATTAATTACAGGTCCTAGTTCTCTATATTTTTAAGGTAGTAGATAAATTGCAGTGTGAAGCCAAGGTGGCAAATGTCGATGGGAAATGGGATGTGGCTGAGTACAGGTACAGCATAATCATCCCTGAGGTTGAAATGCCATCTTGAAGCATGGAAAGAAGTCCTAACAAGCATCAAAAAGATCCTGAGCAGTCAAAAGGCCCATATCAAACTCCAGTCTGAGGATATATTAATATAGGTTTCATCCATCCTTTATTCACAAGTCTGGAAAAATGAACTGTATTTCTAATTTCTCTGGTGCTGCATCTTGTCAGAGCAAGGTGACCAGGCCCTCTTGCCAGCTTTTCTTGCACCAGAATACTGCTACTCAACAGATACTCAACTTACATCGAGCTACATCTCAGCTGGAAGTCCTGGAGACATACCAGCAAAGTCTGGAGCGACGTAAGCTGTCGCTAGAATGATATTTAAGTCACAGAAATTTGCATTCCCTCTAGGCTTACTGGAACTCAGCAACGAATTTGACCCACTCTACTTCTTTATCAGCAGCTTTCCAGGATGCCGGGGGAGATGTTTTTAATCCAGGTGCACAGTCTGTTCGTTTAGCTAGACGGCCGTGATGAGAAGTGTAATCATCTTTAATATGCCCACAAGGAAACTATTCTGAGCAAGCACAATGCTGGGGGGATATTTGAATCCCACAGCCTTTTGTCTTCAGTCCCAGAAATGTGGAATCAGTCTGTCTGAACACGTACCAAAGCTGGACACTGAGTCACTGTGACGTGTGTATGCACTGCTGGTGGTGGCAGTAGGCGGACAGCCGTGGGCCAGGAGGGCAGAAGATGCCCCGTGGAGGTTCCCAGCCAACCCACCATTGCAGGAAGAGCAGCAGCACCTTCTCCAGCTGCAGTCCCTTTCTCCAGCTGCAGTCCCCTGCGCTCTGTAGCTCGCTACGCAAGAAACCCAGCTTTGCCCACGCTCCCACCTCCAAAAAAAAAAAAAAAAATAACATTTCTAACTGTGTTTCTGGCTTTCCTTTTAGGTATGTCTCCATCCACTCTCTGTAGTTTTGTTTCATCCGCTTCTTCAGGTGTTTCTGCGGTCGGAGGGGACCGGAGACCCAGACCCACCACAGTGACCACAGTGCACACAGGGAGCAAGTGAGAGCGGGGCCGGCGAGAAGCGGGCAGGAGGCCGGGCTGGCAGGTGGCCCCGGTGCTTTTCCACCCTGAGGCAAACGCTCAAGAGAAGGACTAGAAGAAAGAAGATTTTTTTATGGCCATATTTTATACTGCAATTCTGAAATGTTTCATTTATCACAAACTGCAAATGACTCCAGGGGGAACGGATCTAACAGTCTCTGGTGCTGTACATATATACATTTATATATATATAAGTATATATATGTATGTGAGTCTAGCAATGTTCTAACCAATGAACACTCATTCTTTTCCCCAGTGATTTACTCTTTTCTCAGTGTAGGTAACAGTACATGCTGTATTTTTTTCCATTAACTACAAACATCTCAACTGGATTATTTAAATAGAGATACTTTTCTGAGCATTATTTTTTTTTTCTTTTAAAAATTACTTCCAGTAATGTTCCTCCTTCCAGTTTGCTGGGGGATAGGCTATTTCTGTAGGTAGGAATCAACGTTAACTTTCCAACATGGGAGGATTTCAATGGCATGCCATTTCTTACTCCTGAAATTGGATTGCAAGTCTGTCTGGCTTTAGCAGAGCTGTTACTGCTCAGATTAAGAAACTGCTGCTTTCCCTCCTGCTCAGATTAAGAAACTGCTGTTTTCTGTCCCATCCTTCTCCTTCAAAGCCACAGTGAGAGTTGGGTTGCCATCAGATGGGAGTCAACTCATGCTTGGCCTCATTCTTGTAGTTCTTGGGATCAGCACCCTTTTTTTTTTTTCACCCTTTTTCAGAAGAGAGGCAGGTACATGGTGTCAGGCCAGAGCTGAGCAGAGCTGAGCAAAGGACATGGCAGAGCATGGTCTCATCCTGCAGCTTCTCTCCTTTGAGCCGCTGTGTGTTACGAGCAGAGTGGAAGCAAAGGAAGATGCGTGACTGGGAGTCATCACCCTCTGTTACTGACTTGCTGTGCTGCCCTCGAGCATGACAATTTATTCACCACTCTGGCATCTGGCATGGGGTGCAACCAGTCCAAGGGTTCCATGGCAGAGGTGCTGAGCACCCACAGTTCCTCGGGGCTTTGCATGGCATTGCTGATGCTCAGCACCTCCCAGAGTGGCCAAAGCTGCGTTATCGGAAACCAAAAAGAAAAGTGCAGACTTTAATCTCTGCGTGCCAGGTTTGCACCCTGGGCAGAGGGGAGGGCTGATGCTTGAACCCCTCTGTAAAGCACTGGCAGGTTCTTGGGTGCATAGTGCAGGATCTGAGGCAGTGTGGCTCCGTCACGCTTAGCTCTGGCCCAGGGGTGACAGGGAGTGCTGAGCTGGGAAAGTAGGACACAGGCACAGGTGGGGTGACACTGGCTCCCCCTCCTCCCCAGAAGCTCATATACTACAGCAAGCTCAATATACCCATTTTTTAATTACTGAATGCATGCACTTCCCAGGTGCATCATCTAGGAACAGCCACCAGGACTGTTGTATCACCGTGCATTAAAGCAGTTAAATTTGTTGATTGTTGATTAAAACAGAGAGGAGAGCAAATCTGCCCAGATGTGCTGAAGGGCTCCAGGTTACTTCAGCACCATTCCCATTTGTGGTTTTCCCTTAAGGAGGTGAGAAGGGAGACAGGTGACAGAGGCAGGCACCCTTCACTGAGCGCTGTGAACATCTTGCACCCCAGACAGGTCCATGTCCCCATCGGGACAACCCATTCCCTACAGTGTGCTCCATTGCCACACTTTGCATCATTTATCCTGCATAGAAATTGTGAAAGCTGGTCAAGGGCAGAGCTGAATGTATCAGGCAATAGTCACTGTGCTGGGAAAAGCCATACGATACATTATTTTTCATTGAGATTTCAAAATCCTCCTTCCTCTTCAGTCAGTTGGTTTCAGCTGGAAGAGCCAGGATTGCATCCGTCATACTTTGAGCACTAAAAGCTGGAAAACCTTGTGTCAGTGAGCACTGACTTTGTTTGAAACAGCCACTCCTTTGGTGGCACTTAGAGCTGTTGCACCAGGTAGAGCTCCAGTTTCCTCAGCATTCCCATTTTCAGAGGGCTATGGCACATCTGAGTGAGCTCCTGGGATGACTGGTGCACCCCACCATGTTGCAGCTGGCATGGATCCTCACACAGAAAGGCTTCAATTTCTCATTAGAGGAAAGATATCAGATACTGAACTGTTGGGGTTTCATAGCAAAACCCCACATAATTTACCACTGTCCCCATCCCCTGGTCATTGCCACCATATACTTTCATCAGCATTTACATCGGAGCTCTTTATGTCTCATTCTAAGGTTACTTTATTTTGCCGACCTGGTTAAGAAAGTTTTAGTTTCAAGAGACTCCAACCCCAAGAAATTCAAGGTATTTTGAACCCCCATGATTTCACAAGCCCAGCTGGTCCTATTCTATTCTGCTCCAGCTTCAGGGATATAAGTAGACAGTCTCCCAGTTTGGCATCAGTGGAGTTTCCCTTGTTTACACACATGCAACCAAAAGCAGGATTTGGTTAGAATCACAGAATCATAGAATCAATTGGGTTGGAAAAGACCTCCAAGATCATCAAGTCCAACCCTCGATCCAACACCGCTGTGGTTACCAGACCATGGCACTCAGTGCCACATCCAGTCTCATCTTAAAAACCTTCAGGGATGGTAAATCCACCACCTCCCTGGGCAGCCCATTCTAATGTCTGATTACGCTCTCTGTAAAAAATCTTTTCCTAATATCCAACTTCCTAGGGAATAATTTTGTGTTTGTTTTAAAGGCAGTTTTAAAGGGCAGTTTTAAAGGTTAGGGCTCAAGCATTCCCTCAGCACCTTCTCTTCTGAAACCTGAGGTTTGATTTGAACTTGACCACAGCAGCTGCTGTGGCCACTGATCAAACTACAGCATCCAAATGTATCTTGCAGAAAAAAAAAGAAAAGCAAATGGATTTCCATCTCCAAAAAGCAGTGACAGGAGCAAAGGCAGACATGCTGTCCTGCAGACTGGGGGGTTCCTATACACTGGCTGCCCCTCCTTGCTGGATGCTTTGTGTGGTTTTTTCTTGGGAGGGTATTCTTTCCTTCCACATTTGGAATTAGTGTGATTTGGTTTTGTTTCTGCAAGTAATATTCTGCCTTAGTTGTGTAATTTATCATCATTCTCTTTGGCTTACTATCAACTGCTGGGATCTTAAGACAAGAAACAGAAGCCCTTAAAAGCAAAATTGTTTCTATCTGCTACAGTTTCGGTGGTGGGAAGCTCTCCTTTTGTATCAGTGATATACAGCTGGAGACCTGCCTGGGGTTCACCGAATGCTTAGAGATTTCTCCTGAAGTATCAGTTGGTTAAAACTTCTCGGTTTATTTCTGGGTAAATCCGTTAACTGAGATGACTTGGCAGCACCCAGGCCAGATTTTTGGAGGGAGATGAGACATTTGCCCCTTGGCAAGCACATCCTGGTAGGGCAAACACTCCAGCATTTCTTTCCAGCAATGCTCCAGTGGCATTGCATGTCCTTCCCCTGGCCCAGTCCTCCTCTGCTCAGCCACTCTCGCAGGGGAATGCAAAGATGGAGTCAATAATGTCTACATGGGGGAAAAAAGGGCTGGTAGCCCCACAGTAGAAGATTCAAAACAAATCCCCAGCTGGCCTTGCCATGAAGGAGTAGGTAGAAAAATCACTCTGGGCTCTTTTCCAATGAACTGTCCTACTAAACAATCTGTGATTTGCTGCTTGCATGAGGACTTCAGCCTGGACTCTCTCTGTTACCCTTTTCTGCTTGACTTTACTGGTACCTATGTGTTTTTCCTTTGTAACTTGTTTTCCTCAGCTCCTTCCCCTTCTTTTTCTTTGCTTGCAGCTTTGATTGTTGATTTTTACCTCCAGAGTAACAGAGGCCATCTCTGATGCCAACAGCAGTCCTCTTGCTGGGAAAACAAAACAAAACAAAATCCAGAAAAGCTCCAGCTGGCCCCTTAGCCCGCAGAAGAAATTGTGAGGACAGGCTGCCTGTGAACTCTGCGAGCTGAAAGTCAGTATTGCAGTGGCAGGGGCTTCTGCTGCTGATTTTGCATGTGACTTCATTCCCAGTGCATCCTAACTCTCTGCTGGATCACCCCTTCTGCAGCACGAAATGAATACTGGCCCTGCAGCACGGCTAATGGGGAAGTAAAAGTATGGGGAAAACCTGGCAGTGTTGCTTTCTTGAGACTGTGTTACTATGCTGCTGATGTCTCTCCTGTCCTGGTTGCTGTTGTACAGGTGCCATTAGAGTAGTGGGTACAGAAAAAAAAAAAAGAAAAAAAAAAAAGTAGGATTTTACCTATGCCTTGTGTGTGTCTGTTATGGTTGTGGTGCCGAAATAAAGCCAAGCAATGGTAGAGGTTCGCTCCTGATATGCATCAAACCACAAAAGGAGGTGTCAGCCCAATGGTAGACATCTCCATGTAGTTCTGCAGTAGGCATTGGATAGGGGTTTCCACTGTGCTTGTGTCCTGTGTACCTCCACAGTTACTGACAGTATTTTTTCTATTACCAGTTCTCCTTCTTCTGGGCCCCTGCCTGGCCCTAAGGGAGTTTAGGTCCTGTCCAAAGGTTTTTTTCTGCCCCAGGAGCCAATGTAACCCCTGATTTCAGCCTTTCTTCCCCAAACCCTCTGCAAATCAGAACATGGGCCTCCAGGGTGCCCATGAAATGCAGTAGCAGCTGGCCCTGAGACTGTCCCCTTCCTATTTTTAGGGAAACAAACCCTCAGGGAAAGCGAGATACCTTTCAGCCCCTGGCAAGCAGAGAGAATATTGTTCTTTGATGTGAACTTGGCACTAACTAGTTCAGCTCTAGGGAAACCTGTGCTATTACTTCATCCTGTGATAACAGCTCCAGCCCTGAGCAGCACTGGATGAGCACCACATAAAACCACCAGACTGACTTTGCCAATAAGATCGTGCAGGCTATAGCCTGTTCCTTTTGCTCTCTCCAAAGAATCAGGAGATTCAACTACTGGCAAAATGTTTCTAGGCTGAGCCCCAAGGTACAGAAGCAGCTTCCATTCGTCATATGGAAATTCTCATTTGATGGGATTGCTTGCATTCTTGATCCCATGTGTATTTACCCGTTTGAACCGGGGCCTGAATGCATCCCAGAAATTAGGGATTATTCATGGGAAGGGAGTTTTGCTTTTGTTGTCTTGCTTATTTACACCAGAAACTTGATGCTAAGAGTTACACTCATCCAAGCACAAAGCAGAAGCACACATGGAAACTATGGTGTCCAAGGAAAACAGCATCAAGACCGAGAGCGGAGGATTAGTTGGCAAATCACTGTCAGCAAAGGCTGAGTGAGGAAACAGCAACCTGCTCACAAATACGGCATGAACAGAATTTCCCCTGGTAAATCGGTCATCCCATATTTCATGCCCAACAACAAGGTTTACACAATCCCTTTTGTTTTCCCTCAAGTCCCTGCAGCTGGGTCCTGCCCCCGCTCCTGTCTGCTGAGGTGGCCTGGTCTCTGTGACACACGTGTGTGCATGTGTAGGGTTGTGGGGGTGTGTGTGTGTGTATGTACATTGTGGCCCTGGGAGTCACAGGTCCCACCAGTGGGAGATCACGAGCTGGTTCAGGTGTTTTGGTCTGACTTTGCACAGTTGGGTCAAAGCTGTGTAAATAGTGCTCGTAACAAAGCCCAGACTCTGATTTTCAAGACCCCCCTTCCCTGCCAAAATCCACGCCACTTACCTGTCCAGGTAGCTTTTTTTTTTTCCTCCTCTTCATAAATGCTAAGGTCAGAAGAACAGCTCTTACAGTTTTTCCATACTCCAGAGTGGAATCAGGGCATGTACGCTCGCAAGCGTTGTGAAAAAACACTGCTGAAATGATGATGACATCAACTGTCCAATAAATGCATGATACTGCACTGCATGTATTAAACTGCTGTTCACTGTTTCTGTATTTCCCGAGCCTTTTCTTCATGCACATTCAACCCAACCTTTTCTCTGAGGGGCGTACTTCTATGTTTTGCTTTTAAATGACTCAATGTATCTGTAACTCGAAATCCATCATTAAGTTTGAGTAAACGCAAAAGCTGGTGTTTTGTAAACAAGATACTGCAAAGCCTGGTAATGTATTTTGTCTTTCTGTTGAATGCTCTGCAGCATGCACAGGAAGAGTCACCATCCAAAGGAGCTTAAAATTATGCAGCAGTCACATACACGTCTAGAAACAGGGAGCCGAGGAGGTGAGAGCCCCGTTTTTAATACACTTACAAATCTGATCTGCATCAGAAATTCTTTCCCTGGGTCACCAACACCCAGGGCTGCCAAGAAACATGTTGGTTTGTCTCTTTCTTTTTTTCTTTTTTTCTTTTTTTCTTTTTTTCTTTTGGTTTGTTTTTCCTAGTGAAAATTTAAATTGGTTCACTCAATTCTTAGCACTTTTCTCTTCGTACAAAATATTTTTTTCTCACCTCTTGCAGAATGAACTGCATTTTGGGGACCAAGATGCTGTGATTCTTTGCCTGCACAAAACAAGGCAGAGAGCTGAGCTAAACTATCCCATCCTTTCCAAAGCATCACCACCTAAATACTAGCATTTAATCCTTGAACCTCCAAATAGTACCACCATTTATCCATGGAAGAGTTTAGCATGGTACTTTGCCTTCTTCCACATGGAAACCATGCCCTTGCCTTCTCTTCCCTTAATCATTGACCCATTTTCATTTGTTCTGGTCTTTCCAAGGCAGGGTACAGGATGGTTCCATGGTGCTTGTATTAGCTCCAGCCCAAACCTCTTGTGGGCATCACCAGGGCATTGGTCCCAGGTCCAGAGTGGCTACTGTGTCGAAGATACTCAGGTTCCCAACACTCAAAGCTGAATCATCTGAAAGGACTGGAAAGTTGCTCTGAGTTCCTGGCAAGGGCATGCCAAGGAGCAGGGCTGGAAAGCAAGCACCATGGGGGTGGTGGCACAGTCCTTGGAAATTATGCAAGGGACTGCTCCATGGTGGCCAAAAGCACCGAGAAGTCTTGAGCCCCCCTTAAGGCTGGTGCTTAGCTAAGATGCTGTGCCATCACTGAAGCACTGTATGGCAGTACAAAAAAACATCACTAATAGTGGTAGTAAGTCAGCCTGAATTCAGATTGCTGGGGCAGGCAGCACCTGGTGCAAGGCTCCATGAGGAGGTGGATTGTGTGCTGTGATGGGTGAGAGCTCCTAGGGGGTTGCTCAGAGCAGCTCTGAGCTTTTCCATCTGCCATCTTGCATCCCCTGAGCCCAGCGTGGCATCACACATGCTATGTCTTACTAGATCAAGCTGTAGCATGATCCCCAAAGTGAAGAGCATGGAAGGGTTGCAGCTGAGTCAGAGGTAACCGTGTGACTCATGTTTCTGGTCACCACAACATCAGTGGCCTGCTGTACATTGGCCTCTAGTAAAGAAACAACATTTTTGGTCCATTTGGGCATTTTTAAAGATAGATCTTTTATTTGAGTCAGCAAACAATAAAAAAAAAGCCTAGTCTGCCAAGAATAGTGACTCCCCAAATACACCCAACTGCAAAACATCCCTCGGTTGACTTCTAATGAAAATGCAAGCATGTTTTCTACAAAGGCTTAAATCTTAA